AGCCAGATCAGTGAAGCTTAAAATAAAATCATGAATGTATCGGTCTAAAACGTTTAAATTCGTTTAAAAAAAAATGATCGGATCAATTCCGAGAAAAGATATCCTTTCCAAGTGACAATTAAGGATTTCCAAACCCAACATGAATTCAATTTATATCAAACTCGTGATTTCCCGAAATAATGTTTCTAGCAATCTTCATATGTCATAAAACAAGAAAGACTAAACTATAAGGAATAACTCTCTTTTTAAATTCCCAAATTTATGCCAATACCAATCTCCAAATCTAGCTCATGGGTAAAGCCAGTCAGAGGACAGTCCTAAAGGTTATGAACACCAAGTGAGGCTCACGGCCAAACAGCAAACCAAAGCCTATTAAACCAACAAAACCACCAAACCATATTCTCAACAAGGCCAACTCGAACCCAACAACAAGGGAAAAACCGAGCCCCAAGGAATGACCTAAACAGTAGAGTATGTAAGCCAACATAAATCACTAAAAGGAGCCCAAACTGAGCCCAAGAAAAGAGCCAACCGAGCCCAACACAAGGGGCAAACCAATGCCTAAGAAATAATCCCAACAGTAAAACTTTTCAGCCCCCGTAAATCACCAAAAGGAGCCCAAACCGAGCCCAAGAACATGGCCAACCGAGCCCATCACGAGAGGCAAACCAAATCAAGCAAAAATGGAGCAAAACAGTAAAGTATTTCAGTCAACATAAATCACTAAAAGGAGCCCAAACCGAGCCCAAGAAAAGAGCCAACCGAGCCCAGCACAAGGGGCAAACCAAGTCCTAAGAAATAATCCCAACAGTAAAACATTTCAGCCCCCATAAATCACCAAAAGGAGCCCAAACCGAGCCCAAGAACATGGCCAACCGAGCCCATCACGAAAGGGAAAACTAAATCCAGCGAAAAGGGAGCAAAATAGAGAAGTATTCCAGGTAGATCAAACTCACTAAATAGGTCCAAACAAAACCATAAAAATCAGATTCCATGAAGTCAAAACCGAGCCCAAGAAAAGGGCAAACCTAGTCCAATACATGGGGCAAAATAGGAAGCATGAAATGAGTCCTCAAACATATCTTTCCATAGACATAAAACAATTTCCGGCATATATTCTAGTAAGGGGCAACAAGAGAAGCATGAAATGAACTCTAAACATATTTTTCCAACTCATAAAATAATTTCCAGCATGTATTTTAGCAAGGGGCAACAAGAGAAGTAATACATGAGCTCCACATACATTTTTCAGCTCATAAACATAATTTCCAGCAAGTACTCTGATGAGGGGCAGCAAGAGGAATGAAACATAAGCCCCAAATACATCTTTTCCAATTCATAAAATAATTTTCAACATGTATTTCTCACTTTCTAACATTTCAAGCAACGAAAATAATAGAGACAGCCCTCGTAATAGAGACAGCTCTCAAACATGCTTTTCCATATGTATTTATAAAGGAATAAAAATGCATTCCAAGATCACCTTAGCCTTGCTTTCAAGTGCTTCAAGTAAGGAAAGTAAAGATGATCCATATATGTGATCCATAAGATGATCCATATATGTATGTTTCATTTCTCACCATCTAAGTAAATACTCATGCTTAAGCTTCAAAATAAATTTTCATATTTCATGCCATCCGAAATGATGTAAAACAGAGAGGAGAAGAATACTTCTTTAGTGTAGACTTAAAGCAAAACACTAAAATAAGATTGAAGAAAGCACCACAGTGAAGAAAGCACCACAGAGAAAGCACCACAGAAATTTCTCCTGAAAGCCTCACGCAAAAGCTTTTCTCGGATTTCTAGTTCCTTAAGCCGCAAATCCTTCGAACGATAGAGAGGAAGGAAAACTTTTTTCGAACAACAGAGAAGGAATAAATCCGTTTGCTAACCGTGAAAGAGGAAGAAAGTAAATGCCAAATTTCTTCTAAAAAAATCTTCTCTCAAGAACACTCTCCCTTTTTAAGCAAAAGAAAACTTCTTACAATCCTTCACACACAGCCACCAACTATTTCTCAGGAAGCCAAAAGGTAAAGAAAAGAAAAAAGGAATCTCGATCGTTTGCTACCCTAGCCTACCAATCGAGCGAGAGAAAGGAATCGACACCATAAATGAGGAGAACACTCGGCCTCGAGGAAGAGAAGCGTCGATCAGGTGGAAACCCTCGATTGGAGACTCGCTCGGTCAAGCGGAGATCGAAGAGGCGAGCCCCAAATGCGAATGACAGAGGAAAGGAGAAGAAGCTCGGGCTCGGCGAGCCATGGCACCCGACGACCATTGCTCCGATCTCGGGCTCGGGTGCGACCGATCGCGGGAGAGGAGAAGCGTGCGGAAGCTAGGGCACGAGGGGGGCGAGCCAAGCTTTGATTAAATCGCGGGACGAGTCAAAAATGGAAAGTTAAGTGTGCGGGTGAGGGGAAAATAGGATTTAGGGTTTAAATTAAATCATAATTAGTGATATAATTATAAAAATACCAAATATTTTGAAAAATAAAATTTAATCTGTCTCCTTTTATTCAGCCCCCTTTTATTCGGAGGCATAACATAACAAAATGGATGTTCTTTTTAGGTGATTTTGACGTTCCGGACGCGTTGACGCGGTCTGTTTTACCGTTGCAAGTGTTTTGACGAATTCATCGATTTGCGTGCCAATTTTCTCGTGTAAAAAATATGGCAATATGAGTGTCTTTTTCTACTGAAATTGGTGTTCCGGACGTGTTGGCTCAGTCCAATTTGTCGTCGGTGGTCATTCAGAGAAGTTCGCATTTTCACCCGTCCTTTAGGCTCAATTGAAGACCGACCTCGTGCAATTTTGTGAATTTTGTGCATTTGGTGTGTGTATGTGACGAAAAAGTCGTGACGATGTTTTCATAAGGCTTGAAATTCTATTATGAACTTTTCCCTCGAGTCTTCACAAAATAGCCCATAACCGCTCGTTCATAAGACGATGGTCTTGTGCCATAAATGTTAGACATCAAAGAAAAATATGAGTTAGAATTTCTAAAAGGGTGGGTCTCAATTCTAGTTTTCTAAGATGGTCAATAGGAACTCCTAGAGCTAGATTCTAAGACCTTAAGGAAAAAGAAATGACCTAAAAAATGAGGTCAACAATACTGTGTACTAGAACATCTAGGGCAGTAGTGAGAAAGTGTTTAAAATCTTAACTTTGTATGAAGATACCACATGCGAATAGATAAACGAAAAAAAACAGGGGACATTAATTTCTAACTTTAAAAAAAAATTTACGTGGTATGATCTGGATAAAATAATCTACTATAGTGATGAAGAGTAAAACAAATTGCTCTTCCCTTTAAATTGAGAAGATGTGATTATAAAGTTGATGACAAAATATTAGTTCTATATATTATGATTGCAATGGAAGTAGTGGAGGGTGAAGACAATGATTGGTCGACGATAATCGAGTGTGATTATAGTCGGATGATGATGGTTGAGTGTCAGTGGTCAGGTGGAGGCAATCAGGAGATGATGGTCATGTGGCGTCAAGAGGGTGATGACGATCAAGCGACATCTGTTGGATGAAGATAGTCAAATGATGGTGGTTTGACGATGAAAATTACTAGTGTTGGTTGAGCATTAGTATTAGATAGAGCTCTAGATTTCTTTAGATTTTGAAGCTCTCTCTATTTTTTAGTCGAGATCATTCTCATATAAAGAACTGAGCTCTTTTATAATTTTTTAGAGTGGCATTTTGATTATTTTGGCAATAGTTCCATCACATTCAATCAGAGATGTATTGGTTTCTTTGATAATAAACCGTTTATTCAAAATTTTATTGCCTTGATAATCTTCAAATTGAGTGATTATGACTGCTTTGATTATTTCTGTTGATTGACTCAATTTGACTATAATTATACAATATTCGAAGATCATTTGACCCTTTACTTATTGAATTTTTAACCACACTTTAATTCCATAATTTGGCGTCCTTTAAATTTGTATTGGACCCCTTGTTGGTTTCTTATCTTTGATACACTCAGCTTGACTATAATTAATACAAGATCGAACGATAGTCCGATCCTTCAAATATTAACTTAAGTTTTCAACCATACTTTGGCGGTTTTTGGCTGCATTGAGGGTTTACGTTTAATAGGATTTAGTAAATCCGGTAAATCCGGTTTTATCAAATCCATATACTATTAAATTCAAAATAATGTTTAGTTCAGTTGAGGTTAAATCCAGTTAAAATTATTAGATGTGTTTGGCATTTTATTTTAGGTTCTTATAGCTATTGTTTTTTTCCCAAGTTAACTTAATGAAATCCATCAAATAGTTGGATTTAACAAATCCGGATTTACATCCAAAAAGAAACTGAAGGGAGAGAAAATTAGATTTAACCGGGCACTGGACGTAACTTCCAATTTTTTTCATTTGGCCGGATTTCTATTATATCAAGCCTAAATCTTGTTAGAAGTTCGCAAGCAAACACCCCCTTTAAGTATTTGATTTGAGCCCATTTGGACTTCTGATTATATCACTTTTAGTTTTGTTGGGTTTGTCTTGTCAAAACATTTTGTTCTATAAGTTTTTCGAAATCAGAGAAACAACTGGTCCTGAATTTTTTTCTGAAGTTCTGAAGTCAAAAGCTGGATCAAGATTCATGTTTGATTGACTGATTTTTCTGATGTATTATTATTTGCTCGATTATTTTTAGACGTTGAAGCACGTGCTTTCTAATACTATATGTAAGCTTCTAAAAAATTTGTGGCATAAAGTTATAATTTCGAACAAATTACATTGCACTACTACTCCCAGAACATGAACGTTGACCTCCCCTCTTGTGGGTGTCTTCACCCCTGTTTATCCCATTTCTAGGTAATTTTTCATGTTTGCAGATCCATAATTTTAAACCCGGCAAACCTTGTATAGTTCGGACTTGAATACATGAATTTAAGAGACATGCATTCACACAGTATCCTATTTGTATTTTTAATGGCATGGAACGTGATAAATCTTTATCTTTTTTTGAAACTATTTAATAGGTGATTTGGGTCAGACGTACAATTCTCTATCAACACTGCAGCATTATATGACAACTGGAGGGCAGACTGTCTTATTTGTTGGTGACCTCTCGTACGCTGATAGATATCATGATAATGATGGGAACCGCTGGGACTCTTGGGGCCGTCTTGTTGAACGGAGTGTTGCATATCAGCCATGGATTTGGTCTGCTGGAAATCATGAAATAGAGTACAAACCTCTTCTGGTAATTCTCACAAACTGTAAATGCTAGTATTTTCGCTGAAATAAAGAATAATTCTCTAAAATCTCTCGTTACATATTCTCATGAAGATAACGAGTTATAGTAATTTAGTGGTTTTATTTGTGCTTCAGTTCATTTGCTTGTTTCACTCTTCATTGTAAATCTTCAAGCTTTGATCTGTGTTCCTTCTAGCTTCTATATTCTTGATGGAGAAAAATGTTAAAATGGTAGTTTCACTCTTTGTGGGGAGTTATTTTAGTCCCAAACTCTATGAAAGTATCAATTTAGTCTCCAGATTTTTTTAATTTGGGCTAAAATAGTCCTCAAAGAGTTTGGAGACTAAATTGACAATTTTATAGATTTTGGGACTAAAATAACCCTATGTAATAGTCACAGGACTATTTTGACACTACCAATTGCAGCTAAGAATTGAATTTACCGCATGAATCTTTGCGTTCCTATAAAGGTAAAAATGATTTGGTTTCATTTCTGAGTGAATTGAAAAATAAGGAAGCTCGACAAATGAGCGGTAGGCAATCTATCTATATGATTAATCTTATTTTTTTAACGTTGAATTAAAATATTTACCACTAAAAGAATATTGAGAACAAACCTTACAGCTTTTTCTTTTGGAAGATTTACATACATACCACTCAATTCTTGTGTATTTACATATCTAACGCCTAACATATGCATGAAAAGGTGTATTTCACTTTTAAAATATTAAAATGGTGGTATTTTTGATGTGATATGAATGATTTGGGTGGTATAAATGTAAATAGCAATGTTTAGGTGTTATTTTCATAAATACATAGAAATTGTGGCATGTATGTAAATGTCCCCTTTTTTAACCAATGTTCTTTGATGATGTGTTGTTTCCTTTAGGTATGTCACTCAAGTAGGACCTTATCTATCTTTATAAAGTTTAGAGTCGCTGCTTGTTTTATTTAAATGGCCTACCATACGTGCTTTGATTTACTCCATTAAAGTAGGGACTTGGTAACAGACACATTTATGAGGCTTGGATTTGCTTCTAATTTCTTTAATGGCATCATGTTTAGCCTATTTTTTCACAGCTTCTATTAATGTGCCTTTTACCGACTTCTCTCTCAAACATCTTTCACATCAATTTTACCTACGACTTTATTCTGGCATCTTTTGCTACTTTGCTGTTCTTTTTTATCAATTTTTGTATATGCTCAAACCACTTCACCTTTTTTTTTACAATCTCATACTGAGGAGATATTATTTTGATACACTTTTCAAGATTCTCATCATGAACTTTATGTCACGACTCGGCCTGGGGCTTAGAGTTAATCAAAGCGGGAACAAACAGTCGGACAATGAAATTAAATTTTATATTATTCTAACTCTATCACTAACAATTTAATATCAATATTAACTAAAAGAGCAGCTTAAGAAAATATTTTAACTAACAAATAGAAGTTTACGTTGCCGATTTCAGATCTCGTCTTCTATAAATATTATCTTCTTTGGTATTCATCTTTTCAAAAGTTTATAATTTGAAAAAAATATTAAAATAATGTAATGAGTTATCTAAGATAACATGGTGGAGTAATTACACTTCTAAACTACAGTAACCTAAGAAAAATAAAACAATATGTATGTCAGTCTTTCATATTTTATTATAAAAATTTATATAATAATAAATTCTTGTATTCTTGACATTTGCTTAATGAAAATAATTTAAAACTTTATATGCATTAATTTTAACTTTACAATTTTTAATTTATGAGCTTTATTTTACTTCATTTTTTTAACATTCATATCTATCTCAAGAGCATCGTCAACACATAACCTACCACACCCCTGGGCAATATTACTCGTTGACACAGTAGCTTGTGATCTGATTGACACGATGACACGATTGTCTGAGGTGGAAATGTGTCTACTCGTTCCTGATCGATAATCTCCCGTCAGCACAACATTTAGCGATCTAATCATCAAAATTGCATGGGGTGGTAGGATAATGTTTACACTCTCGTCCTCTGTCATTATCATTAATGGTGTGAACTTCTCCTCTTCGCATGTTCATACAAGTATAAATATATACATTACTTCATTTTTCATAAGATTCATTCTTTTATTATGAAACATTTTACACTTATATATTGATGAATAAATGCAATCTTACTAATCAATAGGTCATGAAATAAACTAGTATATGTACCTATATTGGAATCTACATATCATGTAGTCATATAACGTCTTCTTAGAAAAACTATAATGCAACCCTTTATATATAATTGTTAATATGCATGATTTATACAAAACAATATGACGAGGCAATTCTAATCTAAGACTCAATGATACTGAAATCAAGATATATTTAGAAATAATAAATATTACTATAATTTAGAGATATAATTACTCACCTTCTAAATTGATTCCTTCAAATTCTTGAACTTACAGTCTTAAATTAGATTCATGAAATTAATTTATAAAATAATATTTACTAGATATAACTTCAATCATATTTAAACATTACAATAGCTTCAATAGAAAAAAATAAAAAATAAAAAATAACCTGCTTGATATGTCTAACTATCCTTGGTTTACAATTTACATACCCTTCTACTTCTGCTCTCTGACTTAAATTAACAGCAAAATTTATATTAATACTTGTTCATTACTAATTTAATTTACTATAACTAAATTTTTAATTATACACTTATCTTATTAATGTCATAAACTTTCTTCTTCCTTCACCAAATTTAATTACTCTCCTGTTTCAAATTTCTGTTTTAATTAACGTAAAATTTATGTTAACATTTTATTATAATTACATTTAAAAATAAAAAAAATCTTACTAAAACAAACCCTAACCTGTCTTAAACCTTTTGGCTCAGTTCGACCTCCATGGTACGCGAGACTAATGAGCCACCCATTCCTCCTTGTATTCGTTTGTTACTCTTTTGCTGTAAAGATATTCCTTTCTTTCACCCATGTAGGGTAAATAATTGTTAACTATTTGGGTGTTTTATTCAATAATTTAATGTTTAATTATAGTATTTCTAAAATTAGAATATAATATGCATGTAAATCTTTGTATGCAATTTATAACATATTGCTTTGTTATGAACAATGAGTATAAATACATTTATTACGTGACTATAAATTGTATTCTTTTTATTACGGGAACTGAATGACTTGTAATATAATACATGTGTTGTGGGAGCATTGTCTATTTTTGTATCACTAAAGCCACATTCATGTCAATATTCTTTTTCAGTTCTATCCCAACACTGAAATGAGGGCAGATAATAATTTTTCGTATGAGGTCAAGCTTCCCTAGTTGGTAGTAGAGGATGGTGGACTACATCTTCAAACTCTTGCATATATTTCAAATTTTCACATCCTTTATAATTTTTGCAACGCAATCTAAGATAAAATTCTCCTGCGACAATTTAAATGAAATAATTTTTAATTAATATTTTTACAATATGGAGAATTTTTTGTGCGTGAATATTAAACATTTTTCATTAACACACTTGCAATATTAAATACATATCAAAATGTACGATAGCTAAAATCTTTAAAATTTATAAAATTAAACAAAATTGTTATGAAAGCAAAATGTAATTACTTAACTTTCTATTTTATTTTTAAAATTTTGATTCCCTTAGTATGATACCTATATCAATAAATATTGTATAAATTATACTATAGATTTTAGTTAAGTTCTATAAATTTTCTTTTTGATACTTTAAATTCTCTTCATCATGTCTCTTTATTATAGTTTGATTACATAATTAACTTAATTAATCATTATTTTGTATTAAATACATAAATCATAATTAATTTTAATGTTTAACATATTATCACAAGTAGTTTATTAACCTTTTAATTTTTATGTCAAAGATACATATGATAATATTTAATATTCTTTTATTTTTCTCTTTTGATTTCTTTATTTAAATTTGAACTTCAATATTTAGATTTGATCCATGATTATTTCCACAATCAATATTATTACCTCGCTGAACTTATAGCATATTTTTTCCACTGATTTTTGGAAACACTTTCCATAACTAAATTTATATGCTTATCTTGTTTTGTTTGAAGAAATGGAATGATAAAAATTTTAGACATAATGACCACATTCTTGCTGCTTTTTTGTTTGAAATGGTTATCAGGGCTTGTTGTTCGCATGAATTAAGAACAAGTTAATTTTCTTTTTTTATTATTGTTTCGCCTACAAACTGTAACTAATTTAGATTAGCAATGTACTGAATTAAAAATATGGTTTATTTAGTCCTTCCTTGTATCTATCTTCGATCCTTACTTCAATCAAAATAGAAATTCTCCCATACTGTTGCTTCTACGTTAAGTTTTGATAGAAATTGGAATGGTCCGACGAGAAATACTTTGCAGAACTACAGCATTATGTGAAATATTTCTGTTGTTTAGCTGCTTTGCTTATTTCTTAGCGGACTATTTGGAAACACTTTTTAGGTGTTTTGAGTGTTTTTCTTTTAAAGTTGATTTATTTTTAAAAAATAAAGATAAAAATATATAAAAATTATAATAACCAAATATGCATTAAAAATAAAAAATAAAAATGAAAACAAAAAAGAAAATTGATGCCAAACTGACCCTAAACTTAATTGTTATTTATCAAATGGACTATTATGTTCCTGTATCATTTTTATGGAGTGAATTTTAGAAACTTAGAAGGAAAAATAGTTTTCCCTTTCTTAGGTTGTGTAGGATAAAAATATGCATGTTTAACTGCTCTTATTCCCATCAATAGGATATTTTATTGAACTTTTTTTTCTGAATGGTTACGACTGCTTATTTGCTGGAATGTTATATATCCAGTTTTTTTTATTCTAATATTTCTATACATAAATTATGGACAGGGAGAATTTTCTACTTTTAGAGCATATCTTCACAGATACGCAACTCCTCATATAGCTTCCAAAAGCAACTCCCCACTTTGGTATGCAGTCAGGCGAGCATCTGCTCATATCATTGTACTGTCAAGTTATTCTCCATTTGGTAATTTACTCACTTGTTTTTCTATAACCATTAGTATTATTTTGTATTTTTTTTTTTAATTAGAGTGAAATCAAATTCTTCTTCTTTAGTGCTCATTGAAGATACAATCATTAAAATTTATTTTAATATTTAAATGAAAACTTAATCTCATTGCAAATTGGAAAATACTAAAGTTCTATTGAACTTATTTATAATGAAAATACACATAATTGTGTTACTGCTTATCAACCAATTGCGATTTATTATTAAGATTGATAGAGCATATATTAATTATTAACTTGCACTGTAAATGGCACACTCTGAGTTCGGAATGCGGTATAGCCCGAGAACACAATGCGTGTGAAGGAATGTGAATTTATTTTGTTTACACAAAACTCAAAAACAAAATTATATGCAGGCAATATAAATAATGAAAGGGAATATAATTGATAAATTATATTTTATTTAATTAATGGAAGTGATAATCATAGACCAACCAAGGAATAGAACAACATCTATAGAAAATATTAAGGAAAGAAAGTGCATGCATAAAGAAAACTGGCCAAACCCAACAAAAATAACATATAAACTGAAATATCAAAAAGTCAGCCAACAAAAATAACATATAAACTGAAATATCAAAAAGTCACAAAATATCGGTAACCATGCATTGAACTTGTAGAACAAGACCCCAAATATAAAAATAAATCAAATAAAAAATATAAGAACTTGTAATTCCAAAGCTGATATATGAGCTCTTAGTAAGCTTGTCGAACTCACAGGTATCACAAACAAGTTTTTGTTAATTATCATTTTCATACAAAGATATATACAAACAACTCAGTAAATTAAAACAAGAGTGTCTCATGCATTTGTGATGTAGCAGCAACACATCCTCGAGACTCCTCCCAGTTCCTCTTGCTCAATCACTCTACCATGGATGTCAAAGCTGAGTGTGCCCCTATCTATCCATGCACCAAAGTCAACTATGTTAAGTTTTAGTCTCAAGTATCTGGCCTGTTTCTCTCTTGAAAGATAAATTTAGGAGAATATCAAAGGAAACAATGTATTTTAATCGAAGAATAATAACACTAATGGATAAAAGGTTCACCGAGAAGGAAAAAGCATGCAAAATATTGGATAAAGTCATAGAATAGGTACGCCTCACTGTACCCTTCTAACCACAATATGATTTGTACCATCAATAGTCTAGATGCTCTCTGGAACTGCTAGGTAAGTTAGGAAGAGAACTCTCTAGCAGTACTTGTCACACGACTAGATGCACCGGAATTACTATTCATTATGATGATCTTGGGGTGAAAATAGAGACAAGCGCATGTGTATCACGAGTACCTCTATCAGAGTGAGCCTATGTAGCAATGTCCCCCTTGATGACGACAAGGCAGAAGTATCCTCAACCCCATCACTTGCTGTTTTCCGCTTCTTCTTCATTTTCAGAAACTCATAATCCTCATTAATAAATACCACACCTGTCTCTTCCTCATACTCTGCTATCATCTGATTTGCTCGGTATCTTCCTCTTCCACCTCTTCTACTACCACAAAGACGACCACGACCTCCAAAATGTCCATGTGCTCCTGTCTCTCTCTCCTTAGGTGGCCTAGGAAAAACCTTGGTTAGATGGCCTACTTAGTTGTAGCACTTGTGAGTCTCCCTTTGGCCACCTGTTATACCTGAGCTCGAGGGAGGCAAAGCTTATCGCGTAGCTGGAAGTTTGCTCTGCTTAGAGTGTAGCCTAATGCTACTCTCCTCGTGTATCATCTCAACCATGGCCTTATTTAGTCAAGGTATCTTCGCCTTGGCTAGGAGAACTGTTCTCCTTAGATCAAAGACAGGGTTCAGATTGGCCAAAAACTTCAGTCTTCATCATGCAAAAATCTTCTCTTTTTTGCATCCCGGATCACCACGACATCTGTGAGAAATGATTAAGGTCCGCCCACACCCGCTCCAGATCGAGGTTTATTTGGTTGTGTTGATGAAGACTTAATAATCTTTATATAGAAACAATAAAAAACGAGCATTTCATTAAAAAAAAAAAACAGCATTTTCTCTCCAATAATAGATACCATTCATGCTGTAACATTCATTAAATTCCCTTCATCATTGTTTACTTTGTATATCTGACTGAGATGAGGATGAAACTAGTGTATTTCCAATCCTCAAAAAGTGGTTGGGAATGCGAAAATATATCTCACAGCTTGAAATTGCTTGTCGTTGAAATCCAAAGCATCCTCGTCTTTTATACTATTTTTCCTCTTGGTAAAATTGCTTTCATCTCTTTATGTTGATTGAACATTTCTTTTTTAGTATAAATACTGAAGTGCAGAAATGTAAATTTAACCAGTAAAATACACTCCTCAATGGTCATGGTTACGGGAGGAACTGAATCAGGTGGACAGGGAGAAGACTCCATGGCTGATTGTTCTTATGCATGCTCCATTGTACAACAGCAATGGTGCACATTACATGGAAGGTGAAAGCATGCGTGCTGCTTTCGAGAGCTGGTTTGTTCACTTCAAAGTTGATTTAGTTTTCGCAGGCCACGTTCATGCTTATGAAAGATCGGTATGCTCTTTTTTGTTTTTGTTTTTTGGAAGATTTACATGCATATCACTCAATTCCTGTATATTTGCATATCTAACACCTAAACTTTAATTTTTATATGTAAAAACGTGTATTTCACTTTTTAAAAGTTCAAATGGTGGTATTTTTTACGTGATATAGAAGATTTGAGTGTTATAAATGTAAAAAGTAAAGTTTAGCTGTTAAATATGTAAATACATATGAATTATGTGGAATGTACGTAAATGATCCTTCGTTTTTTTTTTCCCTGGTGCTGTTTAATTTGCAGAATATGTTCATGACCGCATCATCAATTCTATGCCTCGAGTGTTTTCACAACACCTTCAAAGATTTTATCAATATTCATGCTGTCGAACATATCATCTTTGAAGGCATTGTGAAAACACTTGAGGCAAGGAAAAAATGTTATTAAAATTATAGATCGGTACGATATCAATGAAAGAATTTGGAGAAAGCTTCTTTAGCACAAGTAGGTATATTTTAAATAGTGTACACACTTCAACAAAATATTGATTGGCCTAGATGTATGAGGTATGATTTACTGATTATCTGCATCGTAAATATGTTAATCACAATTATTCTAGGTTGGGATTAATTTATCTAAAGTTTTGTTAAGTAAAGAAAAAAGTCTGAATTTTTTGTTCGTAACTTTGCATTGTTGTCTTGCTATACTGAAAAAGAAAAAGATGCAGGAAATAACGATAAGAAAGCAGATGTTACTGAAAAGGCGTGGTTACAAGCAACACACACAGAAGGGAAATAACAACAAACATAATATTCAACTCAACTAGGGTTGTATTCCTTGGGGTGGCAGTCGGTTATGTGGCATGGAAAGTGAGGTGCAGTGGGATGATGGAGGGTGAGCAGGAAGTCTGAACGGTGGAGAGTAGACTCGAGTGGAGTGGTAGCAGGTTGGGATATTGGCTGGGAGCTGAAAGATGGCTTGTGGCGGGTTACCTGCAATGGGACAGTAGCAGGCAGCAGGGAGGCTGCAGTAGAAAGCTTGGAAGGTGGGAAATAAGCTGCATTGGGAAGGCAGGAGTCAGCGAAGGTGGCTGCAGAAGGGATGTGGATGATAGGCAGCTGGAAGTTGGAGGTGGAAGGTAGGAGGGTTGGCTGGAGGTGGGGGAAAGCAGCAGGCTGCATGTTAGATGACTGAGGCAGGAATGGAAGGCATGCGGTTGCAGGAGACAACAAGGAGAGCTATCTAGGGATCCTTGCAGCGAGGAAAAGAGATGATGGTAGTGAAGGGAGGTTGCGGAGGAAATAAAAGTTGAGGGTAATCACCACCTCAGAATGAGATAGAGCCGGAGTATTACTCATCCTTGGATACAATCTCTAAAAGGGAACACATGAGACGTCGACGGCTGTCCCGACAGAAACATAATAAAAAATCTAAAATCTAAAATATCACAAAAGCAAATTTATAATAATAAGATAGCAATGAGTGGCCTAAGAGGACCAACCGACTCCATAACAATGAAAAAATCTGGACCGGTTCGGTCTAGGCATGAAAAGCAGGTCACCCTCTTACGGTTGTGGGAAATCTTGCTTCCGCTCTCATACACGGGAATTGCCTGTGTAAAAAAATTATTATAATTATTTCTAGCTAGAAATTACATGGCACATAAGCTGATTAGAATTAGCTTATAATAGAGTTTGGATAAAAAATATTTTTGTACTTTTGAAAATTTTGTATCATCTTAATTTTCGAGGAATCATGAGCTACTGGACATGTTTTTAGACAGGAATACACCACATGTATTATGGGAAGATACCGGAGTTAGCCAATAATAACTTGAAAATCGAATAGCATTGCTGAACAAAGTTGAAAATTATAACCAAACAACTGAAATAGGAAATAACGAAAACACGACACACTGCTATGATAGATATCGTGTGGTGGTGGTGGTGGCCGTTAGCAGGCTTGATAGGTGGCGGCAAGTTAGGAAAGGGAGTGGAATGCAAGGACAGCGACACTACGATGGCGGCTTGCTTTCCTGGGCGGCAGCAAACTGAAATAAGCTGGAAACAGCGGGGAAACAACAAGACAACGATGGGAACAGCAGCTAGGCTGTGGAGGAGGTGGTTCAGGCGGCTGGACCAGCAACAAGACGGCACAGGGGATGGTTTTGGGTGGCTGGAAGTGAGGACAGCACAGGGAAAGGTTTGGAAGAGCAGCTAGGTAGCGGCGAAAGATGGTAAAGCTGTGGTTTGCCGAAAACGGCAAGGGGGAGGGCTGGACAACAGGTAGGTAGCTGCAGAGGGTGGTAGCGGTGGCGTAATGGCTGTGGAGGAGAGGGAGGTGGGTTATAGGGGATGGCAGCAAAGGGGAACTGCGGAAAACAGCTACGGGAGGTTGTCCGGTGGCTGTAACAGGGAAGGAGGACTGCGGTAGCGAAGGGAAGAGATGTCGAAGGGTTGGGGAATGATAAATTACCGCCTCGGGAGCGAGATACAGTTAGAGCACCACTCGACCCTTGGATATAATCCTTAAAGGGGAAACGGGGGCGCCAACGGCTAAAAAAAAAAAAAAAAAAAAAACTAAAACATGATTACAAACAGGGGAAAAAAGCAAAAATATAATAATAGGATAACAATGAGTGACCCAAAAGGACTGGCCGACTCCACAACAGCGAAAATCTAGGACTAGTTCAGTCCAAGCAAGTAAAGCGGGTTGCCTGCATATGGTTGCAGGAAATTCCTCTTTCTTTCCCATATGAGGGAGACACCTGTGTCATGGGAACAATCACTTTGTATAATTTTACCTAAAACTTAGTATAAATAATTTGTAAATTTTTAAAAAAATTGCTTTGAAAAATTGAACCTGCGTTGGTTTCTCAAGAAATGACATTGGATTACATATGGCTCTTAGGGTTTAGCTTGTGAAGCTTATATTCTATTGAGTGTTTATGTGATTTTGTGGGCTTTTGCTACATTGGAAGTTTTGGTTTTTCGTTTTCATGTTAAGGGGGTTTGCTGTTCTTCGAGTTTATGATGGCAGAGTGCTCTTTTTTGGGTTTCTTGTTCTTGGAGTTTGTTGTAATAATAATATTATTTGTTGTTATTGTAAATTTTATTATCGTGTTATTATGTGTTAAGTGATATATTGCGCTTGATATAGTATAATAATGAACTTTTGATTTTTTTTAAATTTTTGAAATTTATTTTGGTTGATCTGATTGAATTATTCATTGAACTGTGAACTTACAACAAACAGATATACATACGGGCAAAATCATCTTTTTTCTCATAGAAACTGTAGCACAACAAATCATCCAAACAAACACTTTGCTTCAATATCGACTGTTTTCTAATAATTGCTTATCCTAAAAGCAACTTCACAGTTGCTTATTCGATAAGTTGCAACTGCCCCAAACAAACCTTAAATTAACTTCATATGAATGGTTGAGAAACTATTTTGAGACTTTTTTCTCTTCCTTAACAAATTAATTTAGCACAATATGGTGGAGGGTTAAGCTTTATTTGTTTGGCATGACTACTTATTAACCCATATCATAATGCGTTTAATTGTGTGCACTTTGATTTACCAGCAATTTACAATCTGTTTCTTTGCAGTATCGGGTTTCTAATATCAACTACAACATAACAACCGGAGACCGCTATCCCGTGCCCGACAAATCAGCTCCTGTGTACATAACTGTTGGTGACGGCGGAAACCAAGAAGGACTTGCTTCAAGGTTCCTCAGAAAGCTTAGAGCTTGTTTGTGATCAATTTTATTTTTTATTTTTTAATTTTTTAAACATATTTATTTAGTTTGCTTTTACATATTTTAATTTTTTGTTTCTAAAACTAAAATTAACATGTTTTTTAAAACACTTAAAATAACTTTTTAAGTGTTTTAAAAAACAATCATATCTTCATCAAACATGCTAAACTTGTTTTATTTCAAATCACAACATAAATAAAACAAATAAAAATAAAAAACTGAAAATATAAAATGGAAGTGATCCCAAACGGCCTTTTAGTGTGATCATAAATTCTCATTTGTTATATTCTTACAAGTTTGATTCCTTGTGTTTTCCAATCTGATAGGTTCCTTGAGCCACAGCCAGAGTATTCTGCTTTTAGGGAGGCCAGCTATGGTCATTCAGTTTTGGAATTGAAGAACAGGACCCATGCGTTCTACAAATGGATTCGAAATGATGATGGCAAATCTGTGCCTACAGATCATGTTGTTTTTCTCAATCAGTACTGGTAAGCATCTCATTGTTAGTAGGAAAATTTACATGCCGCACACAATTCTTATGTATTTACATATCTCACACATACTCTTTCATATTTACATACAGATCAATTTAGTGCTTTAAAACTATGCATGAAAAGGCATTTTTATTTTTAAAAGTGATAATTGTGTTTTTTTTTATGTGTTATTAAACACATAAAAAGTGATTGTTGTGTCCCCTCCATTCCTCATCCCATTTCTATCTATTCTCAACAAAATAGTTTCCATTTCTCCTCAAATTATCAACTCAGTCCCTATTATCACAATCTCCATAAACAAACTATGCACCACACTTATACTAGGCTTAGATTTTCACATGGTCCCTCAATTATTTGTATCTAGCCAATTTAATCCCAGAGAATCACATTTCTTCAGTATAGTAGCCTTGTAATGTGAAACTGGTCCATGTTGTATAATCGATCAACGATAAATTGAGATCAGTGTTGTATGATCATGGGATTAAATTAAGATTAATTTTGAATGAGGAAGTTATGAAGTTTTGTGCCTTGTGTTTAGGAAGACATTGACAATCTTTTTTATGCCCAAAATTTCTAGATAATTAAGGGACTAAAAATAATCTTCCTTGCCATTATGTTCATATTGAAAAAAGGCATATAGTAAAGAAAGAGGAAAATTTAATATATCTAATAAAGACTAGACCCCAATCTTAGCAATAATAGGCAATGTATTCGATTTAAGGCATGGGCTCGAAAATAGCGACATAATTTTCTAGTTGTTCAAACTAACAAACTTAGGAAAACATTTTTCAGCCATTGATTACATAACCAGAAATATCAAACTTTGGTTGTCAGATGTGTAAAAACATAAGAATTATGTGATATGCAGGTAACTTTCCCTAGAAAATTATGACAGCAAAGATATGGAACTCCATAGAAAGCTAAAGATGAATTTCATGGTCTATGAACTATGCCGTTGCCATTCAAATTTCAAAGCAAAAAGTGCTTGAAATTAGTATTTAATTGGCTGAAAAATGTATTCAACTGTAAATTTGAAAAGCTACTTTTTAACTTATTCACTATTTTTAAATACAAAATTAACCTTGGAAGACCAATCTCCAGTTGTATTGTGCTTTTACTTGGTTCAACTTGGTCTGTTAACTGCCGATATGTTTTGAATGGTAAACACAAATGCAGGGCTGGCAGCACAAGGAGGAGATTGAAGAAAAAGCAACCAAAGCGTCATGTCAGCCTCATTGCAATTTATTAAGACGAAGCTATCGTGGAGGTCAGATTCGGTACAGAAATTGCTAAGGAAGATCCAGCTGCGCTTTGTTTGTTAGTTTACATTTTTTTTTTAAATTTCCGAGCTGATGTGAAATTGTGGGAAATCAAATACTGATTAGTCACAAGTTATATCTTACATTGAGACAGGTTAGAACTATATGAAGCTTCAAGGAATGCTCAATTACAGCAGTTGGATTTCTATTCTTCAAGGAATCCTCAACAGTTGTGCTTTGTTTGTTAGGTTATTATTCAACGAAATTGCACGCAAAACAAAACTTCATTATTGTAATATCTACCTAAATAATAAATTGAAATAAAATTACAAGACCATCTAGCAAATGGTAGGTTTTGCATGAGTTCTAAAAATGATGCTTTAATTAGCTAAAAAATTTCATTGTTGCGTGGATACGTTAAGGGTCAGTGAAGCTGATTAATTTACATGTGTTATTGTTAGCGGATAGCTGCAAAGGTCTACATGAAAACAATCTTACAGGAGAAATTTTCATCATTTACTAGTTAATTTTAGGATAGATCTGCATATTTTTATTGATAGGAGTTTAAATATATATTATGAGTCAAATAAAAGAAAAAGTATTAATTTAAAAATATATTAATTAGGAAATACATAAATATGGAAACATGAGTAAATAAATGAAGCAAATAAAGACTAAATATTAATTATGGTAGAATTAGGCAAATAATTCTAATACTCTCGGATTAAAGCATAGATGTTTGTTCAGCTTGGGTTTGAAGTCGTACAACGGTTGAGGAAAATTCTTGGTAATGATATTTGTTAATTGATAATTGGATGAGACAAATGTAAAACAAATATTTCTTGAATGGAGCTTCTCCTTAAAAAGGTGCGGGTCAATCTCTACATGCTTGGTGTGATTATGTTGGATATGATTATGGGCAATTTTGATTGCGGTTTTATTATCACGGAATTGGAGAGGAGCAGAGATTGATATATGTAATTCATAGAGCATAATTTGTAACCTGAGGTTTATTCATATATACTCAACGATATGAAGCGAAAACTCGGCTTCTGCACTGATTTGGCTCACAACTGATTGTTTTTTACTTTTTCATGTGACAAGATTTTCTCATACGAATGAGCAATAACTTGAGGTAGAACGCATATCATGGACATATTCAACCCAATCCGCGTTTGTATAAACAATAGTAAAATGAGAGGTATGACACGAGAAAAACAAACGCAAGCTCAGTTTGCCTTTTAAGTAGTAAAAGATCATGTAGATAGTTCGAAGATGGTGCTTATAAGTATCAAGCATGAATTGACTCACAATACCCATTGCATGGTAAATGTCCATGTGAGTATGGGTGAGATAAATGAGTTTCCCTACAAAGACAGTGGTAGTGGGTGAAACCACATTGGGAACATCAGCTAATTTCCCATTTAAATCCATTGGGATAACAACTAGTCTGCAAAGGAGAGATTATTCTGTGTTAATAGATTAAACACATATTTGCGTTGAGACAAACAAATGCCGTGAGATGATTGAGCAACTTCCATGTCTAAGAAGTATCAGAGCCAAGTTCAATTCAAATGAAGTAGCAAGAATCTCTTTCAGAGACTCCACTGTCGGTAGATCATCACTTACGAGCACAATATCTTCAACATAAATGATAAGGACAACAATTTGGCCACTGAAAGAATGTCGAAAGAAGAGAGTATGGTCTGATTGGGGTTGAGTAAAATCATGAATCATTACCACCTTTTTGTTGTCAAACCAGATCTATGAGGATTGCTTCAATATGTAAAGGGACTTCCGCAATCGACACACTTATCTCCTGGCGAAAGTAGAGTCAAAGCATTGAGGAAGACACATGTACACCTCATTTGTCAGATCCTTATTTAGGAAGGCATTATTGACATCCAATTCGGAGCAAGGGCCAATCCAAATTTATAACAAGAGAAAGTAGGACCCAAATAGTGTTTAATTTAGCCACTTAAGCAATGCCCCCTAATAATCAACTTCATATGTTTGTGAGTAGCCTTTACGACTAATGTGTCTTATTGCATTCAAATGATCCATCAGAGTTGAACTTGGTGCTAAATGTCCAATGACACCCCATTGCTTTCTTACAAGGATGAAGATCCACAACATCTCATGTATGATTCCTCTGAAGGACATTCATCTCCTTCTTTACTTCAGTTTTTCAGGAGGGGTCGGCTAATGTTGTTTTAATAGTGAATGTGAGATGATGATTCGTAAGGGCATTAGCAAATACTTTGAAGGTCAGTGATATACTGTGGAAATAAATATAATTTTTCATAGAATAAAGAGAGCTTGCATAATTAGATATTTGAATAGGAGAACTCATCCCCTCATTTGAATTGGGGATAGTTCTAGGGATGTCACTCAAACTGGATTCCAAATCCTGTACATAAGTAGAGGGCTCCAAAGTAGGAACATCGATGCACATGCATCGAGTATAAAGATGAAGGATGGGAGGATGTTAAAGTTATTTGGTAGGTGACAGATCTATAGGGAGAGGGCTCCTTAGATATTGTGGTTAGAGAAATATCCATCGGGGTTGAATAAGGAAGTGTCCAAGAAATCAAGCTCCCCTTGCTTGGGGTAGTGATAGGGAAATATAGAACACTTTCAAAGAAGAAGACATCGGTACTCACATAGAATTTATTTATGGTATAATCAAGACGCTGATAGCCTTTTTGAGTGGCAAAATATCCGCGGAAGACATTTTTTATAAACCTAGGATCAAACTTACTATGATTATGGGCATTGTTCCGAAAAAAGGCTGTGTGCCTAAAAAAATTGGGTTCAAGAATGGTGAAGTACTTATTGGAAGATAAACATGACTTCAAAATGATTAATGGGGTTTTGAAGCTTGAATTTTTGTGGGCTCTATTAATGAGATAGGTGGTTGTACACATCATTTCAAAATTTTTTCAAGACATTAGATTGAAACATAATTGAGTGAGTCACTTCGAGAAGGTGTCAGTTTTTTCTCTCAACCACCATTTTATTTAGTGCCCGTACATAGGGCTGTCAAAAAAGCTCGTTGTTCGTTATCAGTTCGTGTTCGGTTCGTCAATGAGTTTGTGTTCGATAGTTCGATAACTAAGCGAGACGAACACAAATATTTTTTTTTTTCGTTCAGTTAGTTAAACGAACCAAACACGAACAACGATGCATTCGTTCATTTTCGAATCGTTATTGTTCGAAATATAAAATAATTTAAAATAACTATATATAAAAATTTTATGATATTTTAAAAAATTAAATTTTATAAATTATAATATATAATAAATTAATAATAATAATAA